TTTGTGTTTTGGCTTTGGCATTTTGGTATCTGCTTTGCATCTTCTGGACTTCTGATATTGGACTGGTTTATTGGATCTTTACCTGTTGACTTTACCTTGACTGGATTTTTAGTACTACTTGTGCTTTCCATTTCTGTGTTTTCTATTTCTCAGTAACTTTTTTGTATACTTGTTGATCTTTGCCTCAATATTCCCTGCTAATGTTGTATGATGCCTCCCCAGTCATTGTTCATTGTTTTAAATATTGTATTTTAATGATGTTAAACACCATTGTATAGTCATTGTTTTCAGCTTTAAATATTATCTTTTATTGTTTGTTAAGCTGGCTTGGGTCCTTTTCAAGGAGAAAGACAGGGTAAAAGTATTATAAGTAAGAAAACAGACAAATGAACGTGTCTTGCATATAGAATCAGCAGGTGTTCCTGGAACATGTATATTATTCTTCCATGTTTGTGTTTTCTAACACTAAATAAAAGGTTTGGAAAAAATGATTGGAATCTCTAGTATTGCCTAGTCCATTTAATTGGACATAATATATTTTCAGGAAATAGTTTTGTTCAGTTACAGACTGTTAGATGCAACCATTACAAACTGTTGAACAGTATTGGTAAATCATGGCTTGGAAATAATGTGTTGTTCCACTATAGAGGGATGATGGAAGGGGATGCTCATATAAAAATCTTAGAACTGTGGAGCTGGAAGGGATCCTATAGATCATCAGGTCCAGCCTATCAAGTATATTATGGCAGTAAAACCACTGCAACTTGTCAGAGCCAGTGTTCCAAAATTCCCCTTCAATGTTGGAGTTTATATGCACTTAAGGTATGAAAAATGAATGTCAGTGTAAAAGAGTGAGTGGTGCAGGATAGACATAAACACACTTCTGGTTTTGTAAAAGACTACGGCTGCTATAAAGCACATTGTGGCTGCTGGTTTTTCTTTCTTCACTTCATTGCTTGTAAAGAGGTCTTGGTGCGTCTTTTTAAAAAATGTGCCATTAAATCAATTATGGCAATTTTGCCAGTTTTTTTAAGGTATAGAGAACTCAAAAGTGTTAATTCATGAAAAATAATGATCTGGTGATCTGGGCCTGTGCCCCAGGAGACTACATCAGCTGTTTCTTCTCCCAGGAAGCACAGTGGGGAGTTTAAGTCCTGGCATCTGGTTCTCCAGATCATTGAGCTACCCAGTCAACCTTACACTGATACCTGTAGCATAAAACAGAAGTAGATGTTGTCCTGAGGAGGTTTCTCAGCCAAACTGAGGGCTTTCAAAATGAGTAATTTTTAAAATACTATCCTTCAAGAAAGAAAAAGAGAAGTGTTTTATTTTGTCATCTGAAAGTCATTCTTAGGGGAAGACAACTTTGACAAATAGTACAGGAAATACTCCTGCACTGAGGCAATCAGGTTTGCATTATTTTCCTTCACTGTGTAATGGAAAATCAATGCAAAAAAGCTCAGTTACCACAATCTGTAGGTTTTTCCTCTACTGCTGAGGTTTCTGCTTTTTTGTAAATGAATGCATTTGCATTGGTTTAGGTGGTGTGATCCCTTGGGATGATGTGGAGGGGTTTGTAGCCATTCTGTGTCAAGCCATTCCACTTGGCTACAGCAACAGTGTGACAGGGAGGGCAGGGAGGAAACTGTCTGCCATTTGAATTTTCTCCTCCTTAAACCTGGTGCCTGGGTCTGTTTGGTTTCCTCTTCCCTTTCCTTCTTTTTCTCTTTCTTTCAAAGGCTTGCTGCCCTAGCACAGCTAGGTAACCAAAGGAAAAAGAAAGAGTGAGGATTCAGAAAAGAGACAGGAGAAAATTATAAATCAGTCTTGTTTCCATCTTGTTAAAGTGCTTCCTGCAAATCTGGATGGCCAGAACAGAGCTACCTTAACAAGGTGCAAACAAGGCTCATTGCTGTCTTCCTCTCTGCCTAATCCTACATGTTTGGCTAAAGCGAATTCACCCAGAGAAACATGACTTTCCAGATAAAACTTCACAGCACATTGATTTGCATTTTTCCTGCTGGGTAGTTGCACCTTAAGTTGTATGTATAGGGTGTGTCTATAGGAAGGAATCTGGAGCTTCAATTCTGCCAGGAAATCCAAAGACTGGAACAGATATATGTTGTAGATGTGTGGTCTTAAAGTATCTTATGTGATTTCCTTCCTTCTATGTACCATGGCATTATTAAACTATTGGAGGCAGGAGTATGTATCAAATGTTCCTTGACCTAGACAACATAGTGAAAGTTCAGCATTTACAAGGCAACTTAGAATTCTACAGGATCAAACCCCTTATTCACGACCAGCCAAATGCAAAGGATGGATGATATGTAACACTTATTTCCTATGGCAAAGGAGATGTGATAACTATTGCTGCCATCTTGATCTTACCACCACCAACTGTGATTTCAAGCAAGCAAAACTGAAGTATTTGACAGAGTTGTATGTGTTAATGAGGTATGGGCAAAAATCTCAGGGTAAGATCAAAATGAATTGTTGTGAAGGTGTCTTTCAATTTGCTTTTGCAGAAGGAACATGCTAACTTTACAGGTAATCCAAACTGCTGATGGTTCAGCTTACTCATTTAATGTGACTTTAGAGAAATTAGAAAGTCATCTAAAGACAATGAGAATTCATGCTGAATCTAAATCTTTGGGGAAGAGATTTGGACAAAAATGCAGTTAAGACATTTTATGGAAATTATTTGATAATATGAAATCTCTATTAAAAGAATGTCTCCAATCCTATACACTCTTACCAGCGAGAAAGTTGTACTAAATTCCACAACATGTACAGGATTATATCTTGTATATTCTTTTTTTAAAAAAAAACTTATTTATATATGTATAGAAAATGTTTAAAAATATATTTTAGAAAAAAAAATAAATGTAAGGAGAACTACATATTACAGAAGTTACCACTCTGCATAATGGCCATGATTTCACATATGCAGAAAACTGCACATTTTGGAACAATACGCATTCTGTTTTAATTCCAAGCTTCAGTAGAAACCTATTCCCACCAACACCACCAAATTACAAGCATTCTTCAGATGGGAAACAGAACAGTGGTAAACATGGTATAAAAAATTCTGTACATTAATAATGCCCTCATAACCAACTCACATATATACATTAAAGAGAGAGAGAGGGAACAGCAACAAAGTCCAAGGGAAGCCAAGAGAACTCACACATAGTCATTTAACCTGTAACCACCGTGTGAAGCAGAAGATACTGATGACGTATGGTTTGCCTTGTAGGCCATTGGTGGTCTGTAGGATGGAGCTGCCCTTGTAATCCTTGGTTGTGGGTTGTAGGCTATGTTGTTGGCAGTATGTTGGCATGAAGCACACAAGATAACTCCACCAAGGATACTCAGTGCTGCACAGACAAAGCCAAGGTAAAGAGCTTGCCCAATCTCGTATTTCATTCCATTGGGCAGCATTGGGTTGTAGAAATCAGTGACAACATCATTGGTTGACCAAGAAACAGGGATGAGGCAGATGAGACCAGCCAGGATGAAAAGCACTCCACCCAGGATGGCAAATACATTTTTGGCTGCAGACCCTTTGGCACATTGGGTGCACTTCATGCCTATTGCAGCAGCTACAGATGCCAGAGTGGAAAGGACGCAGGAGATCACCATCATGGCACGGGCTGCTCGCAGATCACGAGGCAAAGCAAGGGGCGAGCGGTGGAGCTGACACTGATAGATCCCAGTGCTGTGCCAAACACATTCCATCCAGAGACCCTTCATGTACGCTACAGCCGTGATGATGTTGGTTCCTACATGTGCCGTTCTCCACCAGTGAGGCAGGATGGTAGCCGTTATTGTTCCAGCTAGACCAAGAAGACTCAAGAAGAAGCCCAGTAACTGAACAGCCATGCTAGCCATGTTAATGTTTCTCCTGGTTATCCTGTTTTGATATACTGTAGTATCTTTGCTGGAGTTCCTTCTATGTACACAGCCTTTCTTGAGAGATATATGGCAGATTTGCTTTGACACCTTCTAGATGCCTAATAAAGAAGTAATTGCGGAACAAGAAGTTAAACATTATATGAGTGCATTACTCCGGTGACCAGTAAGGTGCATTCCAGAGGCAGTTAGTGTGATTATTAGCATATTTAACCCCCTTTAATGCACTCTGTGAAAATGGTGGGAAAACAGTTAGTAGCTTCTTGTTGTTTATGCCAGCCTTGTATACTCCAAAAAGGAGGGGGGATGTAAATAAATTATGACACTGAAAAGAGCAATGTAAAATAATTTTTGTTATTATTAGCAGTCTTTCTTACTTTAAAAAAACCCCGGCTTCTGTCTTTTTGGCAACAACAACCAGCAAAAGTTTACAACAGTTGCAAGTGTTAATTCATGGAACGGGAAAAAAAGATTTATGAAATAGTTGCCTGAAAGCTACTTTGCAGGATGAAAACATTTCCAAGAGGTCATAGTGAGATTACAAAAACAATGAACCTGTGTTTGCTCAAACTGAAAAGGAACTAGACTGATTAAAAAAGGAAAAGGAAAAAAACACTCTAAAAGAGGGTACCAAGCAGTGGATTAAAGTTGCTTTTCCTCTATGCCAATATTTCTTGAGGCTGTGTTGTTTTAATAAAGGACCTTGAAGGGGAATAATTCTCATTAGCCCCTGTGGAGACTTGGGTTATGGCTTTCATCTAGATGACAGCATGTGAAACCAGATGTGTATGTTGCAGCTTCTGAGGGGTGGTACCTTTACAGTTATAGAAAACATCCTATAATAAATTCAAGCTGAAACACCATGAATGAAACAGAGAACCTTCCACCTGTGTAAATCTATATTTCAGCAATCTTTGCTAATAGTTGCTTTGCAAGGTGTCTGCAACAGCTCTGTGTGGGAGGTGTATGTGTGGTTAAGATCCAATTCCTTAAGGGTTCTCTTTTGCAGCTTTTAAAAACTCAAAGTGCAGAACTGAAGTAAATAAGAAAGCAATAGTTAGGCTTGCCAACCTTAACTCTGCCACTATAGTTGATAATTAAACTTAGGGGAAAAAAAAGACAATATAGCAATAAAGCATCTCCATCAGTAGGGGTATGAAGTATTGTATTGGGAAATAAAATGTCAATTCCTGCAGCCTCCCTGTCACTACGGCAGGGGGAGGCTACTTGAGGACCTCCAGATGTTTTTACACTGCAGTCCCATAATCCCCAATCATTGGCTAAGCTTGCTCAGGAGGTACAGTCCATCATCAACTGGAGAGCAACAAATCACCTTGTCCTGCTTTAATATTGAATGTTTCTTAAAACAAAAGCAAAAAAGGGCAAAATGTGCTGCTTATATACTGCCTCCTAGTGCTCTCCGGGCAATTTTACAATTTAATTATGCAGACTACACATTGCCTCCTCCCCCAGCAAGCTGGGGACTCAATTTACTGACCTCAGAAGGATGGAAGGCTGAGTGACTTTCAAGGTCATGAGCAGAGGTTTGGTTGTAATCATGCAGTTGAACCACTGTGCCATGACACTCATTTGGCAAACATATACATTACGTAAGATCATGGTTGATCCAGCTAGACTGTGATGACATTCAGTAAACTTAGGAGCAAAAGCATACCTGAAGATTAACAGATCTTGAGTCTTACTGCTTGACAAAGATCAAAAGCAACATTTAGAAATAAATGGAGTTAACTGACTTATTTGGTGGGATAATAGAAGGATAACTGAGTTTAATTTTTAAAAACTTGAAGTACGCATTAGTTGTTAGAAATAAATTGGAACTTAATCTCCACTGGCTGGCCACTCCACCTAATCCTTTCCTTGAAGGCAGCACAGTACGAGGAGCAAAGGTCGCAGGCAGCCTCACTTCCCCCTCCCTCCTAAACAGTTTGCCTCCCAGAGGAAAGAGGAACAAGTCACGTGTGCCCCAGTGTTGAGCATGACTTCAGTGAACATGACAACTCTTTGAGTGAATGAGGCAAGCGACTCAGAATTTGTGATTGGATCAAGCCTGGAAGTGCAGAAGTCTTGGTTCATGGAGGGCAGCCTATTTGGAAATGATGACATCCCCAACAGGCATCTTGTGGAATCCCCCCTTGAACTCATATCAAGCACCAGTCATCTCTCTCTGTACAATGGCTTCTACTGCTGCCTTGTGCAGCAAACCTCTGAGTATGACCAGTTCTCTTGCAGACTTGATCTCATAACCTATGCAGATGAGTGGCATTTGAGAGAATAATTTGTTTATTCCCCAGAAATGTTGTGTGTCCCCCCCCTCTCTTTTTAAGGTAGTTACATGTAAGTATACCTTTAAGCAATTGCCTTTGTATCTGGATTGATAGGGAGGAGTGTTAAACATTCAGACTTCTTAAAACTGAATCTGTCTGGATAAAGTAGCAGGTAAAATTATTTAGAAGACTGTCCTTCACATGTCTGTTAAGAATTAGTTTCCACAGAATTCAGCAGAACTGACAGTCAGGTAAGTGGATACAGCATTGCAGCCCTAATTCACTATGAGTACTTAGCAAGGCTGGGAGGGAGTCGTAATGCCCACCCAACACAAAATACAAAGCTGTGCAGAGAATCTTAATAACAGGATTTTGCTCTGCTATGGCATGTTAGTGGTGTTGTTAAAGCTGCGACCACAAGTGCCTCTGACCATATGGGGAAAAATCCATCACACATCATGTTAAAGTCTTTTCAGCAAGAGGGAATGATAGCACATTTCAAATTGTTTGTAGGTTCTGTTGATTCAATGGGTCTACTCTAGTTGTGAGTTACTGCTGGATTTCAGCCAATATATGTTACCAAAAGCAACTAACTATGTAACTTGTAACAAGTTACTTCACCAGCGAGTGCCATTTCAAAGAAACAGAAAACTTTTCATTACCATGTCACACGGTATGCATTTTAGCAGCACTCACATTGCTGAAGTAATCGCAAGAGCAGACTTTACTTGAATTGATTATGGCCTGAAAGTGATGGGGAAAGCAATCCCTTCATGCTATAGAAATTCATTATTGATTTAAAAAAAAATCAATATTTATTCCAGGAACTCATGTCAGACTTCTGTCTACTGCAAATATGAGTTTTATTTAAATCTTGTTCTTAGCATCCCTCATGCCTTAGAATCCAGACTGCCATGCTTGGAACAAACCTTTGCTTGTACTGGATCACTGCTACAACTATAGTGCCTCAAGGAGAGCTATGCCATAGAACACGTTTTGCTTTCAGAGACACAGCAGAAGTTAAGTAATGTGACATTCAAAGCAGCGATCCAAGCATAAATCAAATCAAATTGTTCATGTCTGATAAAAAGATATTTAGCACTGAATATTATGGTGCTAAATATCTTATCTGTGTCCCCAGCTATAATGTTGTTTTCTGCATAGCAACAATAACTGGTCCATTCAGCTCCTCCTGCCAGCGGCCTGTCTTGTGCTCCCAGTCTCCTGCCACCTGCAGCCAGCCCATTCCTGAATGCCTTCTTCCTAGCAGTGGCATATTAGGGCCCAGTGTGGGTATGTGTGAATGTTTGCTCGCTGGTGTGTGTGTGAAAGTTTATATGACACCTGCTGTCATTGCTTGTCACCTCTGGCTCGACTTCCTCTTCACAAAGGGCTAGGTTTGAGCAACAGCCTGCAAAGCCGCATCTTTGTCTCAATATCCGTGTGTGCGCTCACATGTACACACCCCCAAAAGCCCGGTTAAAATGAAAATCTGTTTGGAAGGGAAATGCCGCAGGCCCAAAAACAGGAAAGAATTAACCAGAAAATGGAGAAACAAGGCCTTGCTGGGAGGTGACCAAATAAGCCTCTAAGACATGGAAAAATGGCTAGAAATATAAATCCAAAAATCCCATCCAGTAGAGTCTGTTCTCAGAATATTCATAGTGTAATCAATGAAGCGTCACATACAGATATCCTGGGAAATGTCATCTCACAGGTGTAGACATCCTGCAGAGAGACAATAACTGTTGAATCATCTATTCTTGTCGTACTCACCAGATTTCCCAGAGGTCAAGAAGAACACAAGCAGCCCAGAGTATTCGGCCCTTTCTGAAGTGGAATGTGCCCAAAATACTGTTCCGGAAAGGCCAAAAGAACCCTTATAGCTCTATTGTTTGTCAACACTCTCCTGCCCTTTAGCAGATTAGAGTAATCTAAAACGATTAGCCAGGTGAACAGGTGACAATCAGGTCATAACCAGGTGAGGAAAAGGAGGTGAGACAATGTGAATTGCAAAGGGACCTGGCCAATTCAGCAAACCCTGTCCCCGTGGGGAAAAAAGCAGGAGATGGCCATATATATTCAGTGTGGTACAGGTCTACATGCTGTTTGCATCTTCTTCTGAAGCTGCTGTCTCATCTCCCTGAGACCTCCTTGCGAAGCATCGCCAACATTCCTTTGAGCTAACTTTGCTACAGCAAAGTATTTCTCCTGAAATCCTGATTCTGGCCCAGGACACTGTTGAACTGTCCCTTCTTAGGATCTGTGTTCAAGATTTCCCTTGTTGTGCATTGCTCCATATGCAGTTTAACACTCCTCAGTCACCTTTAAGGCAATCTGAACAACATGGAGAAGGTAATTCCTCTCACCCCTCCAAGAATACTTTCCCTATCCCCCAACCATTTCCCTTTGTTGTGGTGAATGGTTTAAGGAAATATCTTTATTGCTCTCCTTTTTGGAACTCCAACACCCTCTTCAGAGAGTTGCCTTTTCAGGCATGTAACTCCCTTATTACGACAGCTCCACTGGCTGCCAGTCTGTTTCCAAGCTCCATTCAAAGTGCTAATTGTTACCTATAAAGCCCTATATGATTTGGGTCCAAGCTATTTAGCTCTATCTGTAATTTTGCTATTCCCATTACAATTGTTGTATATATTTTATTTCTTATGTGTTCAAGGCACACTATGCCATGGT